TTTTGGGAAATTCATCAAACATCAAAAAGATATTCACTTTACAAAAGAAAATTGTTAGATTAATGGCTGGTGTCAAACCTAGGAATTCATGTAGAAGTCTATTTAAGAAATTAGAAATCTTAGCTCTTCCTTGTGAATACAAATTCTCGTTAATGAAGTTTATTATAAATAACCAAGAACATTTTCAAACTAATTCTGCTGTACGCAGTGTTAACACATGGAATAAAAATCAGCTTCATAGACCAATTGCCAACCTCTCATGTTTTCAGAAGAATGCATATTATGCAGGGATCAAAATTTTCAACAGTCTGCCATCAAATCTCACAAGTTTTGTAAATAAGAAGGAGCAATTTAAGGTAGCATTAAAAAGATACTTAATTACACTCTCCTTTTACTCTGGATGAATTTCTAATGTTTACAAGTCATAATTTATCTATTGTATGTAATGGGTGGATTTATTTGTAACTTATCTCTACTTCATGTGAACCCTTTGTTTGTATTTGTGACATGTATTGTATTATTATGACTTATTCTACATCCCATTGTCATCTGACTAACTTATGGATCCATGGAATGTAATAAAGATGTATGTATGTACAGTTTTCGAGAGGTGGGTGCTTAACGCGCCAGATGCATTGAAAATTGTACACATTGGTTCATTAAAATTACAATAAATGTATAAACAATTATAATTACAATAAAATACATTACAGATTTTTAAAGGTCCTTATTTACTGATAACTTTACGTATAGGTCAGATTACCCTTACTCTTACCATTCCTGAGGAATGAACATTTAAAGGTGACTCGGCGCTGGATCTTGCACATCTTCGTAACTAACGCTGTTTTTGACGAATGACCCTTCCGTGTAGACGTATCTACGTCAAAAGAAGACAAGCCTAATTCTTTTACACGAGTTCACAAATGCAGATGAAAACACGTAAATGTGATGAACAATAATAATAAATAGGAATCCCTTACCTCAAACTTTGTTCAACTGTAAGAGACCTCGATGTCCACCGGCAATGATCAATTTAATCAAAACTAAAATGGAGAGAGTGGAGGGCAGTATCACAGATTTCTTAATAATTCTTATATAAGATAAGTAATTGTGATATTCTAAAACGTTTTTAACAGCCTAGGAACGCTGTTTTGTTCTCGGGACTGGGAAATTCCTCAATGCGATAACCTTCCTTTCATCTGGCTTTACACCCTCAGGTGTAATCCTGTGACCAAGGTAACAAACCTCTTTTCTTAAAAATTTGCATTTATCTAGCTGGAGACAGAGAATGAACTCAAGTTTGATTGAAACATGTAGTGTTTACTCTTCTTTCATACAATATATTATTACTGATTATTTGTGTATTTGTCAGTTAGGTAATATGTTTAAATATTGTTTGATTCAAAAGATAGAAAATTTTTATTTGTAATTCTGCAGAACAAATTCAGATCCATAAATATGATTTTCACATCAGATCTTGGTTCAGAATATTATGTTGCTCAGTCCCGCGCCGTAGCTGCATGATCTAAGGCATGCTTCGGACCGGTGATATGGAATGCGCGCTGGTTTGAGTCTCGGGGGAGAAGAAATTTTCTCATGAGATTTTCGACCAGTGTATGGGACCAGTGCCAAGCCAGCATCGTGAGGAAATTGGGGAGCTACAATGAGTAGCGTAATCCGGTCAGGAAAACTAGCAATGGCTGGGGGTTCGTCGTGCTGACCACACGTCACCCTGTATCTGGTTGGATGATCGTTCACCTCTGCTTAGGCATGTGAACGTGAGGCCAGCAGTCAAGCTAGTCGGCTTTGGCTCTCTGGAGCTGTTACGTCACGGATTTAATTAAAGAAGTGCCTACAATTAACAATTCCTTATATTGTATAATATTAATAGTTACTGGCCTGGAACTCACATCATTCTTTATTCAGATAATAATTTGTTACTTATTAGTCAAGTGCTGAACATTAGCTTGTAGACATTTTCAAAAATTAAAGACAGAGCTGTCTAAAGAAAACTTCATATTTTTAGTACTTAAAATTAACTCTCTCTTTTTTCTTTTGTCTCTTGCGAGGATTGAGTACATTTACCTATAGTATACATCCTCTTTAACAAATTTAAATGCTAAATACCTTTTTTTTTTGAGGCGTGGACCTGGTGCCGCTTGGTCACTGGGACCGTGGGTTTGAATCCCACTCACGCCATAAGTAACATACTGTTAAGTTAATGTTTAAGGAAGATTGTCACTGGACATGTGTTCTGCACGTCATTACACATCAGAATTTACTGAATGTTCATGTACTTAATTCCATGGAGCAGAGTCCTTATAAAGAAGCTCAACTTGTCAAGAAAATCTTCTATGGAACCTGAAGATTCATTACAATGTTCAAAACAGCCTGCTTCTGGTCCGTCCTGATACAAACTAATGAATCCAGCCCATATACTCCCATCTCATTTACCCAAAATCCATTTATTCTCCCATGTATGCTAATGTATTCCTTGTGATCACATCCCTTCATGCTCTCTAACCAAAACGTTATATTACATCTCTCACCCAAGGTATTATATTAATAAAGATTAATGACAATTGGAATTATTTTTCTAGTGTTTTTGCGCACCACTTTATGTAATGAGAAGTATCATTAAATGTACTTCTGATGTGGATCTAATATACAAGCCTTTTGCTATAAATGTTTCCTCCCACACCCTGCATAAGAGCAAATATTGCAATGATGCACTGTTCTTTATGCAGGTTTACCATCATATTAAATACTGCCCTTCCCTTCTGGAGGTAGTTGGTCTTCAAATTCTAGCTCGATATCTCAGAGAATTATCTATGTTCAATATCAGCCATTAAATTAAAAACAATCCTTCTGCCAGATGTGCATCGCCTGCTAATGTCTGAAGGGACTTCGGTATATTTGAAACAAAAATTGTTTCCTTCAGTCATATTCTATAATAACCATATTGCTATCCATATATTAGATATTAATTGTATATACATTCTTTCTCGTGTCCACACAGCATTGACTGAGCATATCTTATCACCCCAATCACATATTTCCTGATTTAGTGCCTTGTTTGTTTGTATTTGTTTGTTTTACATGTTTTCTTCTCCTTTTAACCTAAATGACTTCATTGCATTACATTATTAATACAAAGATAATGAGGTATTACATAATAAGTTTTTGTGTACAGGAAACTCTCGGTTTACGAACGTGTTCCGTTCCAAGACGTTGTTCGTTATAAGTTTTTGTTCGTTATGTGTATCTTGCATTCCCGAGCTTTTACAATGCATATCATATATGTTAGCAGCCATTTTAAAACATTAAAACCATGTACTAAACATCGAGTGGTCTATACAATATGTTTCATTATAATGTACATATGCGTTATGGTTTATCAGTACCAGCAATACTATTTTGCTTTTGAACCATGATCGCTTAAATTTTTAAAAATATTTTTTTAAGTCACCAAATGCAGAACTACACTTGACCGTCTAAGATAACCTAGGCAAAGCAAGCGATGAACCTATTATATTATAATAGGGGGAATCACCGATTTCTTTCCCACGAGAAAACATTCTACGCGGCGTGGCATGTAAACCAACTTTTTTTACTGGCTAGATTAGTTTTATTAACCAAGAACAGGTTCAGTATAAGTATCATATAATAATATTCTTGTAATTATTGTAATAAATACATTTTTAAAAGTTTAAAATTATGTTCACTATATGTTTGGCATTTCGTTTTATAAGGAACTCTATCTATTGGCGACTTTAAGAAATTTTGAATGAATTGTGACGTTCGTAAACCGAGAGTTGCCTGTATTAACTTGCACATGTAGCTCTTTGATATTGTGTTCTTCTCTTGTGCTGTTTTTATAATTGACCTGGTTGTTGATGCAGCACACTAATAGTAAAGAACCAAACTGAACTGCATTAGCAGCCAAAATGCCATTACAGATAGCACACAATAAAAGAACAAAATAAATATAACAAAACTACACAACCAGATTATAAAAAAATCACATGAATGTAGAGAAAGTTAAAACAAAGTTATAACAGTTACAACTGAAACAGACAAATTCTGCAGCCAACATTATCTAGTAAATTTTAAAGATCAAACAGCAAATAGACATGTGATCAGTCACTCAGTCTGGTGCATTTTAGAGGAATTCCTCCTTTGGCAGCCAATACCATAGCTTTGGGGTTTAAGTGCATAGAACGTGGCGTTTCAGCACATGGCGACACTTCGAACTTTCCTATTACGCTCGCTATACCCAGCTTCACAGCAATAAGTCCAAATAGTCTACCTGAAACATATACAGTGCAATGCTAAATTTAGAATATATAAAGTTAATACATATATTTGTTCATATAACATGAGACACTATAAATAACATGTACTCAATACTTGGACTGGGTTCACAGTTTTGCATATATTGCCCAGTTCTCAGTAAAGACAGAAAAAGTTGTCTAAAAATATATTACCATAATTCTTGACTTGTATTATTAGACTACTTTTGTTCATAAAAGTATTTGAATACTGAAGTTTTATACATAATTAACTTCAGAACTAGTACTGAGTACTTCACGTACCTATGCAGTTCTTAGGCCCCTCTCCAAATGGCAAATACATGAAAGGATGGCGAGTTGTCCTGTTCGTCTCGCTGAACCTCTCTGGATCAAAATGCTCTGGGTCTGGATACACGTCTGGGTCCATGTGTAGTCCCAAGAGGGGAACATATACTGCCGTGCCCTTCTCAATGGTAATGTTGGTACCAGGGATAACGTAATCTCTATTCGGGACTCTGTCTAGTATTGGCATTGGAGGATATTTTCGGAGTACCTCTGTCGACAAAAAGAATTGAGATTAATTAAAAATGTTTCACAGAATTGCTTGCAGATCCTGCAAACTGCAGTCACAATTGACTAGGAATGGAAACACAGGAAATAATTCCTTGCACGGTTTTTAACAAACAGTAATAATGGTTTGCATACGATTTGGTAAATTATGGTGCTTTCTGTGAGATATTGCTCTAAAGCAGAATTCCACAGGCATTTTTCACCAGTGGCATACGCTGACTTATCAAACACTCGTGACAGTGCACCACAAAAATCTGCTCCATAAAAATGAGGTATGAAACTACACATGGTCATAGATATGTATCTGCATCTAAATACAGTGGATTCTGGTTAATTGGGACAGATCGGGACCAGAACACTTTGGCCCAATTATGCGAAGTTCCATGTAAAGAGTTAAAAAGGTTTGTTCTTTAAGATTTGTCCCAAATAAACGGCTGCCCCGATTAACCGATGGCCCAATCAACCGGAATCTACTGTACTTACCTAGTAAGAATGCACACTCACTCTACGGTGCAGGATATTCTTTGTAAAGACAATTGAATACTCGACTTGTCAAAGAATAGCCCACTTTCTTTGTGAGTTTATAATTTTTTTAATTTTTCTACCTCTATATTTCTTACTAATGTAATTTCAGCACACATAATTGTACTTTGTTTCTCTCTGTAAAACGCTACGTTTGAATTACATTAGAATGCGGGTATAAACCTAAAAAATAATAATAATAATTTTGATTTCCTTTCATTTATAGGATGACTTGAGGCATAATAGGTTTAATGTGTGTTTATATTAATAAAAATTACGAGGTTCTAGTTGTACGAATTATTAAAACTATGGTATGAGATAAATTATATGAAATTTCAATTGTCCTGGTGACTTGAAAACACTTTTTAACATGAAGGTACATATCTAAAATTGTTGACAGACTGAATCATTAGTTTTGCAAAATTCTGCATATTCTTTATGAACTTTCTAAAAGCTGAAAATTTTTAGGTGTTAATTTAATTTTTAACCCACGTCAAAGCCCTGGGAATGACCAGTCACAATCTGCTGTAGACGAGAACCTGTCATGGCGATGTACTAACCTGAAGTATTGCCACAATAAGTAATCAGTCTCAAAAGGAATCCTGGCACTCTAGTAAAGCTATATATATTATAAATGATTCTAAAAGAATGATCTGGAAAAAAATTATTTCCCTTTAAAGTACAGTAATATCCTCTTGAGTGAACAGCTTTATACCCAGACCACTTTACCATCACTGATTAACTTATTCCATAACACCAATCAAAACAATTTTACTTGTAATTTATATCATTTGTGCTAAAGGTAAACCATTCAAGCTCTAGAACAGCGTTTATCATCCTATGGTACGCATACCACTGGTGGTGTGCGAGTCAATGTCAAGCTGTACTCAAACTAAGTAAGAGAATCAAAAGATAATATTAACATAAATAAGTTTTCCCTGAATGCATTTGGTTATTGGTACATTTAATGTTTCAAATTAGAATTAGTGGTAAGACTGCAAAAAAGGGTGAGAACCCCTGCTCTAGAAATTTGTGTACCTGAAACCACCATGTGGAGGTACTCCATGTCTCTAACAGCCTCGTATGTCAGCGTCCCCTCATTTTTGTCCATAGCATCTAGAATCTCTTCTCGCAGTCTGGTTTGTAGATGAGGCTGCATTGCCAACTCATAGAGTATGAAGGCTATCACTGCAGCATTAGCCTCAAAACCTGCAGTGAAGAATATTGCAGCTTGTGCCACAAGAATGTCTCCCTTGAAATCTGCAAAAAAAATATTTTAAACTGATGTAAACATGATAATTATGCAGTAAATTATAATAAATACTATTTTTTGTGTATACATGTCATTAGATCAAACCCAGAACTCACTGAATAGCATATTATACCATTTTGAATTTAAAAGTAAATTTCTTCCCAGTCAGCATTCTGAATATAATATATTGATTTAAATTATAATATTATATTTGTGTCTTATAGACAGCAATACCTCCTATACCACACATAAACACGGTATTTTTGTGTATGCCAACCTTCTGAACTGGAGGGAAATCCTTTTCTGAAGTGATTAGTGACTTGTGACAAGACATGGATCTAACATTTCACTTCAGAATCACTTTTGACATAACCAACTGTTCTGTAAAATATTTATTTTCTTGTAAAAGTATCAAATCTGGATAATATATATAGTTATAATAAATTACATAAGCTGTAAATTGAATTTACGAGGTTCAATACAAATGTCGGTAATGGAAATATATTTTTCGTTCAAGTATACCCATCATCACCTGTCCAAAATGATTATTAATACTTTTGAAAGGAATTGCTGAGAAACTTTCTTTTGAAGATGGATGTCTTCTGGGTTGCTGTGCCGTGTAGTCTGGTAGAAATTTAAAAGTTCCGAAGGTCCTTGCTGCTTCTATCATCAGGGCGATGAGACCTCTACTTCTACCACATTATGTGGCGCAACAACAGAAGACATCCAACCTCATTTTTAATTCTGTATCGTAATATTTACTGATTACCCTCGTTTATTTATTTCACTAATAACTAATACTGAGATACGAAATATAAATACTGTAAATGAATAAAAATTATTTAGCAGTAACCTTTAGCAACGTTAATAACTGTAAAATTTCTGTAGTACGAAGAAAAATTCAGTTACAACTCGGGAGTTTGGCGAGTGATTATACCACCTCCAAAAATACACCTTTTAACTAAATTAACTATAGAATATTAATACATATCAAACTTAAGAAATGATACAGGTACTTAGGCTCCCTCAGTTCTTAAACAACCAACAGACCTTCATGACAATCACTCCAAGGGACATATTCCTCAAAAAAATTTGCATATTTTCGTGATACATTTTTCAAAGCAGTATTACCGAGTTAGGGACCATGTAGGAATGTTCAATTTCCACTCAACAGATGGTGCAAGATGTACCGTTTGAATGGTATGTCTCATATCGCGCTACTATGGCACGAAGAGGAACTGAACAAGACTTTTATCAGTAGCGTCTGTGAACGCCACATTTGTTTGTGTTCGCCACATTTGTTTGTGTTGTGTGCATGCAGTTTTGAAAACTTCTAAATGAAAGAGGTAAATACAATTACATCTACTCCAGAACGGTGCTGTGTTGTTTTCGAATATGCAGAGATCTGATATATGTAGGGCTTTTAACTCTCAGCTTGCTCTCGAGTTTCGCTATTTATTTTCAATTTCTGTATGCTGTGCATCATGGTGTCAGAGACAGAGGTCTCTGTACAAATATTATAAGCCGTATATTTGAGTTAAATATGTTTTCCCTCGCTAGTAAGCGACTATCTGACCCTTTCTCCAACATTTTTGTACAAAAGTTGTACACTTCTACCAATATTTGCTAACGTTTTTGTAAGTGAACTAAAAGTGCTTAAATGTATTTGTTATTTTCAACCTGTTGTGATATGGACAAGAAATACAACAAATCTAGTAAAGTTGCAGAACCTAAGTATGTCCCCTCCAAGGATATGATAGTAGAACATTGGAAATAGCTGTAAGGAAATTTCTATCAAGAAGACTTGACTCTTTAAAGAGCTTCTAAATACTACAAAGTTCCGTGATCGACAAAAAGACAACGTTGTCAAGGCCAGCGAACATTTTGATGGTCGGTGCAACGATCTCAAAAAGTTCGAAATAGGGGAAGTTGGCAAGCCATTTGCTGTGTCTTCTGACGTAGAATTAAAAGTTGCAAAATATGTGATACGAATGCAGGAACTTGGTTTTGACTAACAGTTTTTCAGGTCAGGAGCCTAGCATATAGCTTAGCACAAAAATATAGGACCGGTAACAGATTTAATCCCGAGGAAAGAGTTGCTGGGAAAAAGTGGTACAAACGGTTTCAGGAAAGATTCCATTTGACTCCTAGGCGACCGGAAAGTTTGTCACTTTATCGTGCCTCCTGTTCAAATCCCATGTTGATACAGGCTTTCTATGACTGCCTGGAGAAAGTCCTTGATGAACATGATTTGAGAAAATGCCCTGATAGAATCTGGAATTGTGACGAAACAGGGCTCATGTTTGTAACCTCTGGACACAAAATAGTTAGAAGCGTTGGTAAAAAAATATGTTTATGAAAGTGTTTACGCAGAGTGAGGCACTACAACGGCCCTATGTTGTGAAAATGCTGCTGGAAAATCTGGTGCGATTCTGATAATATTCAAAGGCGTGCAGAACATCCCAGCGTTGAAAGATGGCGCTCGTCTGGATGCTACAGTTGGAGTCAGTCTAAAAGGCTGGCTTACAAGCGAACTTTTCCAGAAATGTTCGGAACAGTTCATCAAATCTCTGTCAATTGTCTTTCTTATGGAGCTTTCGGAATGGCGTGTGCATCAAATTTTGCCAAAGACTCGCCAAAACGGCTACGGAAACCTATGAAATGCTAAAGCAAGCATTTGGGGAGTCCGCAATGGGTCGTGCACAAACTTTTGTGTGGCATTCACGTTTTAAAAATGGCCGAACCTCTGTCGATGATGACGAGCGTTCTGGACGACCATCTTCGAGCACAACGCCCGAAACTGTTACGAAGATCGACGTCGTACCATCAACGATTTGTGCGACATTGTTGGGATAGGCTATGGGACCTGTTAGCTGATTCTAAAGGAAGAACTCCACATGCGACGCATCCTGTCAGAGGACTAGAAGCAGAATCGACTTCTCGTTTGTCAGGAGCTTAAAGATCTTGCAAGAACCGACCCCAACTTCCTTTTTAAGCTCCGTGTGACTTCTTCCTCTTCCCAAAGATGAAAATTTAGCTAAAGGGAAGGAGATTTGAGACGATAGAAGAGATTCAGGCAGAATCGCAGATGGTGCTTGACAGGCTGACAAAGAAAGATTTCCAGGGATGCTTCCAGGCTTGGCAGCGGCGCTGGGATCGTTGAATTCACTCCCAGGGAAACTACTTCGAGGGTGATGGATGAATTTAATACCTGAGATAAGTGTACGGGTTTTTATAGGCGCAGTCTTGAAACTTTCCGATCGCACCTCGTATCCCACCTGTCACCAGAGGCTCTGTAGATTTCAGAAGAAAATCAGATCACAATTCTAACATTTCCGTCACGTGATCCAGCCTTTAGATGTTAGTGTTTATGGTTCCTTAAAGGCACCTTGGAGAAATGAAATAGATGCACATATAAGAAGGAACCCCAGAATATCACCTAGCCGTTACGATCTCAATCCACTGTTCAACCCCAGCCACGAACAGAGTTTCACGCCAAAAACCATCAAAGCTGGATTCCGAAAATCGGGTATCAGTCCGTTGAACAGGAATGAAATTCCTCCAGAGGCAACAGTACCATCTATACAGGGTGATTCAAAAGGTTAGGGCCAAACTGAAGGGTCGTATAGAGGGACTCAGAGAGAACAACTTTCGAATAGGAATCCATGTCCTCCGAAGTTATCCTGAGTCAGTCAAGGCCATTGAAGGTTGGGAAGTCTGAAATAATTTGGTTTGTAAGATTGCTAATGTAATCCTTGTACATTAATAAAAAAATTAGGATAGTAGGAGAATTGCAAATTACGATTGTCTCAGCGGTACGTTATCAGACTTCCCTACCTTCAATGGCCTCGACTGACTCAGGATAACATCGGAGGACATGGATTCCTATTCGAAAGTTGTTCTCTCTGAGTCCCTCTGTACCATTGCTTCCCAAACTTTTTCCTTCTTTACTCAAAACCGCTTACCAGAAAGTCCTTTTTACCCGATGTAGGTAAAACACAAATTGCACAGAAAACATATGACAAGTGGAGAGATCGGTAAAAAATATGACGCGAACAATATTTTTGATGCAATGTCTTAATTTTAAACATTTTAGCAGCCACAAAAAATTGATAATTATTCACCATGAATATTTCATAACCCAGGTCCCAGCTAATGAGTATAATTCTACTGCTCCATCTTATTTACTATTTCTGCAAATTTGGGAGCAATTGGAGACAGAACAGACCTCACATCGTATTCGGGGTTCAGCAAACAGTTTTTGTTTTGTGCTCTTTATGCAGGCAAGAGTGGAAAATCCCACTTCACACATGTAGGTGTAATGTGTATTCCGAGGTGTGTCGTTACCCAAAGAAAAACCACTTTTACCCATTTTGGGGTAATTTACCCAGGTTTGGGAAGCACTGCTCTATACGCTCCTTCAGTTTGGCCCTAACATTTTGAATCACCCTGTAGATTCCGACAGAAATCAGACGGAATATAATCAAGATGATGAACCAATCATGCAAATTCCAACTCGTGACCCACCCAGAACGCGAATCACTCGCCGTCTGCCAAAGTCCACACGTGCCCGCCTCAGACATCCTGCAACCTCGACCCTGACTCCATGAACAGACGCAGATACAAGAAACGCAAACAAGTCAACAGTGAATGACGATAATTCTACGTGCTCTGTATGAAGGCGAGATTATGAATATGACCTAAAGAAAGGCACGTGGCAAAATGATTCAGTGTTGTTTCGGCCTTGACTAGTTTCATAACGAGTGTGAAAATCTTGCTGATAATTTTTTAGGAGACTTTTATATGTGCTCGCAATGTGAGATTGGGTAGGCCCCAGGGCACGAAACAACTCGAGAATCGAAAAATCGTATTTTGATTAAACATGATATTGGATAATTCTACAGAAAGTGAATTTTTCATATAGATCAGACAATTTTAACGACCACTTTGCAAAATAACATGTATGCCATAGTGTTTACCGATGCCTAACCAGGGATACATTTCCCTTTAAATATACGTAAGAGCATAAATGATATTTAAGCTAATTTAATCGACAACTCCACATAACTCTACTGTCAGTACGTTACCAACCCAATAACTATAATGTTCTTACTTTTGGACGTGTTCACATCCGTGTGGAGCCCCTACTAATATAAACGCATTGAATTGTTACGCCATGCATATATTTCCTAACATGATATAATCCTAAGATTATTACTGTGTTCACAGGAATTTGCCACTGAATCCGATACTTATACACACAAACCTGATTTATTTGAGGTACGATGAAGTATTTTCTAGCTTTCTGGAGTTTTCGATTGCAGACGAGAAGGCTAAGGGAACTCAATTGACCGCGTATAATCTACTCTCAGTTGTTGTATGTACGAGATATTATTTGTTACCGTCATTAACAGATAGGTAGAAGGCATTTTGTTATCATTTATTATATATTATTACATTAGAAATTTACCCTTCATTTTTGAGTCAAACCAAGCAAATTCAAGTTGTCTTCATTCGCCGTCTATAACATTTAATAGTGTGTCTGAGTTCTATAATGCCTTCAACTCAGACCAGAAGCTCTTGTCCCATTGTATTTATGGATTTCCTTCGTCGGTAACCCTTTGCGTACCCGTCGGCCGATCCGTCGGCCGAAGAATTACAATAGTTTAAAAGCAATGGCTAGAATGCAATCTTGTCTTCTGAGATGTGACACAGTGTAGGCTTGTAGCTTCATAAATTGTATTCCCCGACAGATATAAAAACAATATAAAAACCTAAACGTAAGTTGGAAGATAATATTAAAAAGGACCTTGGAGAAATACGATGGGTAGTGAGGACTGGACTCGTATGGCTTAAGATAAGGACCAGTGGCGCGATATTGTGAACACATTTTTTGAGTGGCTGAGAGATTGTTGGCTTCTAAGGAGGGCTCAGGTTTATGGAGTAAGAAAGTAAGGTACGTTTGTCAGGTGTAGTCAGGTCTGGTTGTGTTAGATTCTAATAAAGGTTAAAATTTGAAGACCAAATATTAGAATTTCAGATACGGAAATTGTGAATCTCTTATCCTGGCTTCTTAACATTTGTAAATTGCGAGGGTTTTCAATGGCTTGGCAAATATATTTCGCGGGACGATACGGAATTAAAATTTTCTAAATTCGCGTTGCATAGAACGCACGGGGATACTCGGTGTATTCCGGCAGTAAACTAATTTTCCGATCCCATATTGTGTTGGTCGAAATTGTCTTTTAATAAATATCTCGAGTCACGTATCCGAAAAGGGGAGCCAGTGAATACGATGTCGCTGTTTGAATTTCTTATCCTGAATAATTTTTTAAAGTTTTTTTTCTTTCTTCATTAACCACGTAAATGTAACGAACGAGCACTTCAAAATAATCGAGTTATTATTATAAGCGCTTCGCAGGCCGCCATATTTTGTCTCCTGTATCTTTTTATGCAGACGACTTAGTAGTATTGGCGAAGGAAGAGGATGAATTACAGAACATGATGGACAAGTTAGTGGAAACAGGTAGAGAGTATGGAATGGAAATTAACATTGAAAAATCAAAGGTAATGAGGATAGCACCGAGAGCAGAACCATTGAACGTTGTAATTGGAAACCAACAGATGGAGAATGTGGAGCATTTCAAGTACTTGGGAAGCATAGTCACGACGGACGCCCTATGCACCAAGGAAGTAAAAGCAAGGATAGCCATGGCCAAGGCAGCTTTCGTCAAGAAGAGGATACTTCTCACTAGCAAGTTGGGCTTGGAGATGAAGAAGAAACTAGTGAAGTGTTACGTATGGAGCAGAGACTTGGACACTCAGGAAGAAGGAACAGAAATACCTGGAGAGGTTTGAAATGTGGTGTTGGAGAAGAATAGAGAAGATCAGGTGGACGGATCGAGTGACCAACGAAGAAGTATTGAGGAGAGTCAACGAGCAAAGATTACACGAAGGAAAGCCAACTGGCTGGGACATATTATGAGAAGGAAGGGGTTACTGAGTGACATCATCGAAGGCCAGGTTGAAGGAAAGCGAGGACTGGGAAGAAGACTGATACAGCTAACCGACGAACTTATACAAGGAAAGAAGATGACGTTCCAGGAATTAAAGCGAGAAGCCGAGAATAGGGACAACTGGAGAGCTCTTTTTGGGCAGAGCAATGGACCTGTCGTAAGACAGAACACTTAATAATCTTTTTATATTTAACTGCAGCTGGGCACCTCTTGTTTGACTAGAGACCCGCTCACAGAACTCCATACCAAAGACATAAAATATCTAATCCACTTACCAATAGCAGCATCCATTTCGTCCGCAATGTCATTTCTGGTTCCATTCTTGTCTGCTTTACTTTTCGCTTCATTTTTCTCGTTATTCTTTAGTTGAATCAACATCTGCAAGAAATCTGCTCTCTCAATGTTCTTCTCCTCCCTTTCCTTAATGGTATCCCAAAACGCTTTCCTTAAGAATTTGGTTGTTTCATCTGAGAAGAACTTGACATTCATAACCTTAACAACCAGCGGTAACATAAATGTTGACATGAACTCAAAACTCCTATAAACGGAAAAGTCAAAAATCTTCCTTCCAAATTCACGGAATTCAGCGTTAGGATCCAAGAGGCAGTTACTTCCTATACCAAACGCACAGGAGGTTATGACGTCAGTGGCAAATTTACCACAAACTTCCTTCGCTTCTATTATCTTTTTTGTTTTGTCATTATTCTCTAAATATTCTCTGAGCTGTTCGGCGCAAGTAAATATTAACGGGGACATCTGCTTCACTCGAAATGGTGTAAAGAGTGGTGTCATCTTGAATCGTAAGTACTTCCATGCCGGTCCCTTCAGTAGGAACAGGTTATTTGACAGAGGATCTGTCTTGGTGTTGGAATGCACCAGACGATCGTAGAAGATGTTGAAGTCTTTCACCAAAATTATCTTTATCAGCTCAGGGTCTCTTAACACAATTGCAGGTCTGGAAGCATTAAAACATACAAAGATAATAATTTGTACTTGATGAGGATGCAAATCTATTTTACTTGTTGTAGTAAAAAATGTAATACTTTCCTATAAAAATACAACCTGAAGTCACACTGCAGATTTCCTATGTAGAACCAAATACAGGTAGACCTCGATTTGCGCCGATTCAGAATAACGCCGATTTTGAAACCAGAAAGTCAAAAAAGTGAGAAAAATATATTTAACTATTATTTATAACGTTTTATAATTTATATCGTACTGATTCTTATACTAAATCGTAATTCTTACATCGCTGATTTTGAATAAAAATTATAAATACAGTCATCTCTGCAATTACGTATGTTTCGTTAACGCGAATTTGCTCCAACGAGATCGATGAATCGGTAAAAGCTGTTTGTGAAATGCAAACTTTTGCATATGCGAGTTTGCTCTTATGCAATTTCATTCCTGGCGCTTTAAACTTTTAAAGATCTAATTTAATCTCTACGGATGTACCGGGGTTATTTTTACTGCACGATTTTCTATAGGTCAGCGTCGTACATGAATGCAACTATCACATAACAGCAGAGATGACTGTACACATCAATCACATGAAAGAATCGCAGTCAATCGCGGGGACCAACGAATTACCGATTGCAAGTGTGTAAAATATATATTTTAAATTTCATTTATTTTATTTACGTTATTTCAGAGCTTTAAATATAATGCAATTATATTAATCGTCAATGTTTGGATGCTGGGAAGGCATGTCATTGACTTCGCATTGATTTACATTATAAAAGAGTTTCAATTTACACCGGTTCGTCCAGGAACGCATCCCCGACGCAAATCGAGGGCTACCTGTACTTGGTGTAACAGAATTTAAATTCATACCTTCCAAAAACGTAAATTCCGAAGAAACGTTTACCAGCGCCTTCATTGTACATCCTCTGCATAAACTGTCCCACACTTTCCCTTTGTAAGAAACATTCCTTGAAGTTACCAAACAACGTGGTTGGCCGTGCAAATGGAACACCTCGTTTTTCCCAGTAACTGAACTTGTGTCGGAAATAAAGATGGGCTAGCAGCAGGAGACCAGACACGATGACAATAGCGTCCAGCAGCAGTGAATCACCGAATAGCGCCATCTTCTGCCACAGTCTGGAATAAAAAAGCTCCATAATTTTTACATTTGTTTAAATCTTGTCAGTATAATCACAATAAAATTCCTATTAAATATTAAAATATTACTATAATTAACATTCGAATTTGCTCCAATGAGATCGATGAATCGGTAAAAGCTGTTTGTGAAATGCAAACTTTTGCATATGCGAGTTTGCTCTTATGCAATTTAATTCCTGGCGCTTTAAACTTTCAAAGGACTAATTTAATCTCTGCGGAGGTCCCGGGGTTATTTTTACTATGCGATTTTCTATAGGTCGGCGTCTTATATGAATGCAACTATCGCATGACAGCAGAGATGACTGTACACATCAGTCACATGAAAGAATCACAGTCAATCGCGGGGACCAACGAATTGCCGATTATAAGTGTATAAAATATATTTTTTAAATTCCCTTTATTTTATTTACGTTATTTCAGAGCTTTAAATATAATGCAATTATATTAATCGTCAATGTTTGGATGCTGGGAAGGCATGTCATTGACTTCGCATTGATTTACATTATAAAAGAGTTTCAATTTACACCGGTTCGTCCAGGAACGCATCCCCGACGCAAATCGAGGGCTACCTGTACTTGGTGTAACAGAATTTAAATTCATACCTTCCAAAAACGTAAATTCCGAAGAAACGTTTACCAGCGCCTTCATTGTACATCCTCTGCATAAACTGTCCCACACTTTCCCTTTGTAAGAAACATTCCTTGAAGTTACCAAACAACGTGGTTGGCCGTGCAAATGGAACACCTCGTTTTTCCCAGTAACTGAACTTGTGTCGGAAATAAAGATGGGCTAGCAGCAGGAGACCAGACACGATGACAATAGCGTCCAGCAGCAGTGAATCACCGAATAGCGCCATCTTCTGCCACAGTCTGGAATAAAAAAGCTCCATAATTTTTACATTTGTTTAAATCTTGTCAGTATAATCACAATAAAATTCCTATTAAATATTAAAATATTACTATAATTAACATTTAAATATTTAAAATATATTAAATTAAATGATGTTCTCTATCGAAATGTTCGATTTACATTAGATCATCAGTGTAAAAAGTGATGATTTACCCTTTGGACTACCTTCATGTCCACATGCCAAAAAAACAATTACCCTAATATGTAGGCCGAATAATAATAATAATAATAATAATCCCGCTTCATGTTCGGCGGGTCCCGGGTACAAGATACATGCCTGGAAAGTGTTCTGAATTTGGCCACGACCGCTTCCATTAATCTTCATATCATTGGGCGCTAAACAAGGTGATTCGAAGCTGTTGTGGGGAGATTAGTTTAAAAAGACAATTTAAGTAAGTATATTTTTTTTAGATTTCCCACCGTTTCGGAGATACGTCGTATTTACGTTGATGTCCATTTTATTATCGGAAACAATTTGTTTTAACATAACACGTATGTTGATTACATTCCTCTACCAGAACACGCCTCAAGGCGACGTCGAATTAGTCCCTGACGGACACCAGTCGCCTAGTTACCGCGTATCACGAACTGCGAGGACGTCACTGCATTACAGACACTTGGGGTCGTGGATGATGGGAAAAGAGTCAGGTTATTTTGCTCAGCGGTTCTTAACCTGTAGTTCGCGGACCCCTGGGAGTGCACCAAGCTCAAAACAAAGTGATTTAATTCAAAAGAAGAATAAATATCGGAAATACGATGTTGAATATTTATCGAAGGGTTTCACGCGTTATGTTACGAATTATTGTCAGATGAGGCCATGAAACCATCCGGAAAGTACCTAATCGTGAAGAACTGATATTACCTGCTGCTAAAGCCATGGTTAATGCAATGGTCCGAGAGAAAGCATCAAAAGGTTTAAATTTGATGGCATTGTCCAACGACACGGCAAACAAGCGAAATGACAACATTTCAGACAACGTAAAAGAACAGTTAGAATTATAGACTACATGTGGATTAAAGTACGGAAGTTCCAGGAATTAAAACGAGAAGCTGAGAATAGGGAAAACTGGAGAGCGATTTTTGGGCAGAGCAATGGACCTGTCGTCAGACAGAACACTGAATAATAATAATTGCATACAACGTTAGAGACGAGTTTGAGGCGAAATTTTTTGAAGATGTATTGTTCTGCCACTCTTTGGTACATACGAGGTGCGATCGGAAAGTTTAAAGACTGCGCCTATAAAAACCCGTACATTTATCTCAGGTATTAAATTCATCCATCACCCTCGAAGTAGTTCCCCTGGGAGTGAACACAACGATCCCAGCGCCGCTGCCAAGCCTGGAAGCATCCCTGGAAACCTTTCTTTGTCAGCCTGTCAAGCACCATCTGCGATTCTGCCTGAATCTCTTCTATCGTCTCAAATCTCATTCCCTTTAGCTGAATTTTCATCTTTGGGAAGAAGAAGAAGTCACACGGAGCTTAGAAAGGAAGCTGGG